TGTTGGGGTTTAGGGCTTTAGGGTTTGAGGGTTTTAGGGGTTTGGGGTTTTAGGGGGTTAAGGTTTAGTATAGGGTTTTAGGGTTTATAGGGTTTTAGGGTGAGTCCCAAGCTGCTGGACGAGGTCCCCAAAAAAGGAGAGGTTTAGGGTTTATAGGGTTTTAGGGCTTTAGGGGGTTTATAGGGCTTTAGGGTTTTTAGGGATTTAGCGGCTTTAGGGGGGTTTAGGTTTTAGGGCTTTAGGGGGTCTTAGGGCTTTAGGGGGTTTAGGGCTTAAAGTCTTAGGGCTTTAGGGTTTTTAGGGTTTTAAGGCTTTAGGGTTTTTAGGGTCTATAGGGTTAGGGTTTAGGGTTTAGGGGAGAATCTCACTCTTTTTTCCGTTATGAGGATTTTTGTTGAGGGCTTATGGGCCTTAAGTGAACTTTCTAGCAAAATGCTGCATTTGCGGTGGTTCGATCTTGAGGGGTGGGCTTCCGGATTCAGGGTTCGGGGATTTGCGGCTTAGGGCTTCAGGGTTTTAGGGTTTAGGGTTTAGGGTTCTTCTGGGTTTAGGGTTTTAGGGTTTTAGGGTTTAGGGTTTAGGGATTTAGGGTTTTAGGGTCCAGGGCAATTATCTCTCGTGTTTGGGTGACAGCGAGTTCAGAGCCCAACAGCTATCAATCACGGGAAAGGTGTCACTGGCCTTTGAAAGGGCCAGGCTGCCTAGATGGTGTCACTATACCTTTAAGTTCTATTGGGCAACGTATATTGGAGTTTGACAGCCTTCTGGAATTCCAAAATCTCCCAAATGCCGTGATCCTTGCTTCTCAGGACCCTTAACCAGGCATCCCCCGTTTCAAGAAACCCTAAACCCTAAACCCTAAACCGGAAGACGGTAACCCGCTGATTGAACTGGGTCGAGGGATGGTGTTTAGGGGTAATCGGGTAATGTAGGGACCTGATGAAGAAACCCAGGTTCTAGAACCCCCAAACTCTTAGGGTCCATGTAATTCCTGGGGATCCAAAAACCTACCCTTTTAAGGGTTAGACCCTATAATTAGGGGGTCATAACCTACTCTTTCGTGGGGTTTGGGGATACAGGTTAGGCATAAGGAATCCTAAAAAACAAAAAACGGAGCTTTCTTAATCAGGTTCCAAGCCCAAAGGGTTGAAAGTACCTATGTAGTAGAATGTCGGGTTTCTATATCAGGAATTTGTTATTATGATTTGGGAACGTATCCCCCATAACCTAGGACCCTTTGGGAAGATTCTTGGTTTAGGGCTTCCCTGGAGGTCTTGAACTTGGACTTGCTGTGTGCGGAGACGGAGGAGATGATCCCGTAAACCCTAAAACCCTAAAGCCCTAAACCCTAAACCCTAAAACCCTAAACCCTAAAAGCCCTAAGCCCTAAACCCTGCATGAACCCTAAAAACCCTAAACCCCAAGAGCCCTAAACCCCAAAAGCCCTAAGCTCTGAACCCTAAACCCGTGAGGAGATTCGTGAGATTCTGACGAGCTGGGAGGGCAGCAAGAAGCGAAAGGCGACGGTGATCAAGGAGGCCCGGGCTGACAGCTTAAGGGTTTAGGGTTTAGGGTTTTTAGGATTTGGTTTAGGGGTGTAGGGTTTAGGGGTTGAGGGTTTAGGGTTTAAGCTTAAGCATCACTACCCATAGGCCCCTAAGTAGTTCCTTTTGGGATTACCTTCTAGGATTCTAAATATAAACCATAAAAAGGATTTACTTTGGGGTCTATATGGTGAACCCCAAAAAGTTGGAAATCGAATTAAGGACAAACAGTGCTGGGATAACCTTTTCGTTACTCTTGAGGTTTAAGGATATTGGGTTTCCAACTCTTGGGCTAGCTGCTACAAGCCCCAAATTCGGAGCGACAACCAGTACTTTTTTGACAATAGAATCCCCAAGCCCTAAACCCTAAACCTAAAAGCCTTAAGCCCTAAACCCGAAACCCCCGCCCACCTCCCCAAGAAAAAGTAGACCCGATAGTACGGCAATCCGGTATGCAGCTGTCTCCTAGCCCCAGGGAGTTCCGGGCCAGTGCTTCGAGGCCCAGGGGATTTAGTAAGTAGGTTACAAGTAGAGTTACACGTGTTCAGGGCTTCGGGTTTAGAGTTTAGGGGTTTAGGGTTTAGGGATAAGTCGGGTTCTAAGTACCCTAAAATGGAGTTGCCCCTCAACTTTACTACTACAGTACAGGCAATCATACCTATGCTACTGGCTATACAAATACGAAAGAATACTAATGCAAATGCCAATACGAATACCGAATACGAATACGAATACCGGCGTTCATGCTATTCCATGCTCATACTGAAGTACTGAGAATAGTACTAGATAGCAAACGCACACAAACATATATATATATATACACATACATACGTAGAGAGAGAGAGAGAGAGTGCGTGTGTCTGTGCCCCCTTGCGCATAGGAGGATGCAGGGGACGAGGCAGACCTGTTCGAGACCACGGCGAACAAGCACATCGACCCTGGTCGAAGGCTAGAGTGCCTCTTTGCCTAAGGGTCCATGGTACCCAAATAGGGTTTAGGGTTTAGGGTTGATGATCGAAATCCTGCATTACCTTAAGGATCCTAAACTATGGGAGTTATGATATATATATATATATATTGCCTTATTATGGGTATTTCAGGATTTAGATCATCAACCGTCGTACCCTAAATAGGGGCTACTTTGAGGCTTTGAGGCCAAGGGATGTACTGTTTGGGCACATGGACCCTGCGGGTTCGTCTCTTGTCTTTGCTTCTTCTTAAGTAGCTAAAAACCTCGGGCGGTTCTTTGGGGTTTGGGGTTTCGGTTTTAGGGTTTAGGTTCTTTGTCTCTTTTCTTTCGTCGTTGCTGGGGTCCTATCGAAATCGATTGGGGTCTCCTTGTCTTGTTTCGTGCGTTCTCCTTAAGTAATAAGGAACTTGATCGCAGAAACTATTGATCATGGCTCAGGGTTGCAGTACAAGTTAAGCGCTTTCCTTTTTTACGGTAGCTCGTGGCTTAAGTTTTCTTGACAAGAACCACCCTAAACCCTAAACCGTAAACCCTAAACCCTATAAACCTAAACCCTACCCTAAACCCTAAACCCTAAAAACCCTATAAACCCTGAACCCTAAACCCTAAACCCCAGCCCAGCGACCTTTTAAGACTCTCTTTTTTGCTTTTGTGCCTAGGCCGCCGGCCAGGAAGATCTTGAGTCTCTGGGTTTAGGGTTGAGGGATCAGGGTTTAGGAGTTTAGGGATCAGGGTTTAGGAGTTTAGGGATTAGGGCTTAGGGTTGAAGGATCAGGGTTTAGGGTTTGGGGGTTTAGGGGTTTAGGGTTTAGGGTTGAAGGATCAGGGTTTAGGAGTTTAGGGATTAGGGCTAGGGTTTAGGGTTGAGGGATCAGGGTTTAGGGTTTGGGGGTTTAGGGTTTTAGGGTTTAGGGTTGAGGGATCAGGGTTTAGGGCCTAAATACCCATAGGCTCCATACTAGTTCCTTTTTGGGGTTACCTTATAGGATCCTAAACATAAGCCACAAAAGGAACTACTAAGAGAACTACTATGGAGCCTCTGGCTAGGGATTAGGGTTGGTTTCTTCTTCTACCCGCAGCCCCTAATCCACCCGACAGCCTGCGCAAGCCTTCGCCGGAGCCGGCTAGGCTTCTCTGGGTTTAGGGTTTAGGGTTTAGGGGTTTAGGGTTTAGGGGTTTAGGGTTTAGGGTTTAGGGTACTCTGCGTGTGTTCAAAACACCCTGGAACCCCTTTAGGCCCCGAAACCCCTAAACCCCTAAAGCTTTAAATCCTTAAACCCAAAACCCGAAGCCCCGAAAGCGTAAATCCCTAAACCCTATAAGCCCCAAGCCCCGAAACCCTTAACCTTTAAACCCCAAGCCTCGAAACCCCAAACTCCTAAACCCTAAATCCCAATAAACCCTAAATCCCTTAACCCCATAAACCCTACACCTCTAAACCCCTTTCCCCGAAACCCAAAGTCCCCCACACCCCTAAACCCTCATTAAATCGCAAAACCCCGAGCCCTGAGACCCTGAACTGCTAAACCCTAAATCCCAAAACCCCGAAACCCTAAACCCCCCAACCCTATAAGCCCTAGACCCCTAAGCCCTAAATCCCTAAACCGCGAAACCCTAAATCCCTACACCCCTAAACCCCGAAATCCCATAAACCCTAAGTCCCTAAATCCCCAAAACCCCTAAATCCCTAA